ACTGGGAATTCTAAAAAGCATATCATATAATTCAGCCTATCAGCTTAACATTGTATGTTTTGGATATTCACTCAAAGCTACACAAGGACTATCTGCACTAGTTAGCTCTAATTTTGAATTGATAAGAGTTGAAGGAAGGCAACTGGTCAACAGCACCTATCACCAGCTCTTGGGCTATACTAATCATATAATTAGACTTGACTCTCGCTCCTATACTGCCCCTATAAATCCAAAATGCAGTGAATGATTTTGCAGCAATGGAAAGCAAGCTATGGACCCTGGAATCTTCAGTTTAACATTTAAACCACAAGGCCACACCTGGCTCAACAGCCAAAGAACACAGTTTTGACATAATAAAAAAATAATTCTTCAAAACAGGTTAAGTAATTTGTATTATGCACCTTTTAAAAACGTTATGAAACTGTACACTTTAGTGAAAATATAATTGCTATAAATATATAAGTGTGTACCTATATCAGTGCACACAATGATTATGGAATTGTGGTCATGTCATATTAATTAATAAATCATGACTGACAGAAAATATGCCATAATTTAAATGCAGTGTTATATATAATTGATTTGATAAAAAAAACTAAATTATTGACAACCTAGAAATATTTCATTTAATTGATTAAGCTTAGTTTATATTATTATTGTGGTTGAGTGTTATTATTCAAAGGTTTGTCTACGTATTATCACCAATATGTAATGAGAGTTTGAAAAATGGTAATTTGAATTATTAAAATATACCTTACTAGCAACTGCTAGTGGATTAAACCTTTAGTTCAGCTAGTAGAACACTTGGCTAGCATACCAGAAGTCTTGGGTTCAATCCCAAGTCCAAGAGGAATAAAATTTAGATTACCACAGAAATATTCATTGCTCAAATATATTCTACTTTAGTAACTATACAGTAAAACAAATTGAGCCTTACAAGCTACATGTAAATATATAACTGTCTAGAAATGTTAGTAAAAGATAAAAGTATATTTTGGAAATACATTTAAGTATTCTAAGAAACAAAGGTTAGGCTTTACCATTAAAAATAAATAAAATTAGATGATAAACCACTACCTACTACATAAGATAACCATGTTTTGGACAATTTAAATGTGTAATGTTGATATCCATACACTGTATTTGTTTTAAAAATAGTTTATTTATAAGACTAAAGTTTATGTATTTACAACTGAGCTGGATATTCACACAACTCTGCATGATGTGTTTGGGATATCCCATATAACAGTAACTTAAAAAAAACGATAAATTGGACAACACTTCAAAAACAAAGTTATGGCATTTGAATACTTGCATGAAAAACCAAAAGATATTTAAATGTATACTATTCAAATAACTGTTTCATTACAATAAACACCATCAAAGGTAATAAGAAACATGATACGTTAAGTTTCAAAGTGAAATGTATACAGCAATGCAAGTTTGTACAATTCATAGTTCTTCAACAGATCCCACTTTACAAATATCTTATTTTAAAATAAAGTTCTAAAATACAGAGTAACTGAACTTAAAAAAATATAATCATCAGTCATTTAAAATAATGAGCATGTTGAACAAATAATAACCAATTATACTTATAGCATTCCAATTAGTTATCATCCTCTGAATTATCTATATTAATGTAGAATGTTTTAAGAAGGTTTTCAAATGTCTTTAAAAAAAACTTCTAAGTACCTGGTCCAGTGATCGGAATAAAAGAATATTTTTAACTGCTTCAGCAAGTTGCTTTCTTTGTTCATCTGACTTGGGATAAACAACCTAAAAAGTAAAAATATAATAAGTTTAATACAGCTAAACCTATCAACTGACATATTTAAGTAGCATGTGATGAGAGAGAATTGAAGCTGTCAAGTGATATCAACACAGTTCTTGATATAATAGGACATCTATATAAAAAAGTTATTAACCGTGAAAAAAACATAAGAAGGCATTGTGTTAAGATGACTGAATAATACATGATGCTTCTGTTCATAACATAAGTACATACCAAGTCAACAGTTCTCAAAGTAACATTATTAATATGTGACACAGTGTTTGAACAATGTTGCCTTTGACTGATATCAAAGAACAGACGTGTATTTGACAACCGTGAGAAAGCTGTAGCTGTTGCAATATACTAAGGTATCAATATAGTGAAATATGTATCAGATGTAGCTGAATGTTGTTTAATGTTCTCTCAAAGGGAAAATTTAACCAAGTAAGCTGAAAGGTCAGAGTAGCATTTACCTAGTAAATCATGTGTCAAGTTCTTACCAACTGTTACTATTTTATAAAAGGAGGAAAAATGAGCAACTATATGCATTGAATGATAAAAGGTAAAAGAAAAATGCCCATATAAGAATTCATATCATGAAAAACATAATTTTTACAGCTTAATGGATACAAATAACTAAGAGACAGAAGCTGTTTTTTCTTACATACATAAAAACTCATTTCTAATGATTGCAAGTTAGGATATAAAATCTTTTAATAACTCTTGTTTATTAAGTTAGAACCTAATTAAAACATCTTTTCAAAATTTATCAAACTGCTGTGTTTAAAGTGTCAAACATTGTTCAAGTAGTTTGTTTCACATTATTCACTAAGTACCTGTCACAAATATATTTAATTATCTTACCTTATCATTGTCATCATCTTCATCTTCTTCTGGGTCATAATGTTCCGCAAAAACTGAACAGGTATAAGTTAATAAAGGTAAGTTTGTTTTTTCATGGTTTAAAATATATTGATCATTCACTATTATTGTTATGTAAACAGTAAAAACTGGATTCTTACTTTTCTACATTCATATGCACTATAAAAAAAAGTACATAAATTTTAACTTGATAGAAATTCATCTATTCCCCCACTATAACTATAAATAATGTACATGAACTTAGAACCTTCAAGAAGAATTATTTCAAATGTCAATGCATAAAAATCACCTGTTATTAAAGAAAAAAATGTTTTTGTGTTAATTAAAACTGTTAAAGTCAACAACAAAACATTCAAGTGATTATGAAACATTTACAAAAATGATTATTCTCTATCTTATAGATATTTCAGTAATGAAATAAAAACTATTTTAAGCCAGATACTTAAAGCAAAACTAAATTTTTTTATCATTGTAAAACATCTTCTAAGATATTTGTTAATTATTTCTCAGATAATATTTGCATTTAATTACAAAAATTTACTATGCATATAATCCCATTCTCTGACTGTTTTCAGTAATTTTTGTTTATTTTCAAGACTGTCTAACACAAAGAGTTTTGTGTAACAAGATAGAAGTAATTCCCTCAGATAAAATTAAGAATTCTTCACCATTTATAAAAGTTTAAAACATTTCATAAAAAGGATAACAGATTTCCATTTTTGTCTGCTATTTAACTAAATATTCAACTTATGTTTGGCAACTGTAGGAGTAATGTATTAATAAATATCAAATTTTAGTAATGTCAACACCAATTCTTACATTTCTGATTATTTTCATTGTGATAGCTCATGTGCGAACATACAATATTTAATTAAATTTGTGTAATACTACAGATACAAGTATCTATAACTTAGATTTGGTGTGCGTGTAACTATAACTTACATTAAATTAAAATTCTAAATCTATAAATATCTGATATTTCAGGTGAATTTAAAGAAGCTAAAGCATACACTAAAATTATTTCAATGTAGATAAACACAATGAGTAACTACTTATATGCATTTACTCCAAAATGGCACTGTGAAAAATAATATAAACTTGAACCCTGTAAGTAAAGACAGCTACTACAAAATTTAAAGAAAAAAAAGAAAGATGAAATTCCCATTCCTTCTTCTAATAATATATACTTGTTTCTATACTTTAACTCAGAAACATTCTGTACTTATGACTCTGCATTTGTTCATACCACAAAACCTGTATCACACAATTTAATAATCCCATCCTAAGTTTTATAATCCACTTTATCTATGGGATCCAATGTTTTACTAACTGTTTACAATATGTCAGTAAGACAGACTTTATCTTATCTCATTAAAGGCTGAATATAAAGTGGAAGTAAGTGTCAAAATAGTTGAATGTAAATATCCTTATTATCCAAACCTTAAAACATTAGAACTGAATTATTACACCGAATAGCAAAGACAAGTATCTAACAGTCCATGTCAAACTGTATTAACAATTACTTTACACATAGTATTTCTTAAGACAGAAATTAAACGGTAAATAAACACATAACTATACATTATCTTTTGGACATATATATATAAATATAGCTGGATGGTCAGATAACAAAAATTAAAAAAAAAAAACTCCTTTTGTATTTGTAAAAACTTCTAATAGCAAAAAACTAATTTAAAATTAAGAATACAAATATAAAGCACTTTTTGTTTATTTCCTTACCTGACTTTCTTCTGATAAAACTACTAGGAAGCTCTGTGAAAGAAATAAGTTACAAATTAACATAATAAAAATAGTAGACCAGAGACAATGTAACACCTTAGTAGATTTACTTTCATATTACTGATTTTTTAATACAAAAAAGTTCCAAGACCACTGAATTTCTCTATCCTACTCATGACCTAAGTAATTGAAGGATTGTTCTTAAACCTTTAGATAGAAAAATGAGACTATGTACTATTCACTGAGCACACACACATAGATGTGTTGAGTGCCAATCACATCTTTCATATAGTTTTCAGCTTTGTTCCTACACAAAGTCTACAGAGAGATCTGTGATACTTAAATATATATGTAATGTACTATACTAAAACATATATGTAATGTACTATACTAAAACATATATGTAATGTACTATATTAATATATATATGTAATGTATTATACTATACAGAGGTATAAGCCAAACCTGCCTAATTTACATTACAAACATAGTGTTACTTGTTTGGTATCTTCTCCTTCATATTTTGTTAGCTACAATTGTAAAGCAACATGTCATAAAGGCACGATTCAAATCCATTAATTTTCAGTAAACTACCTCAGAACTGTCAGTTTCATATTTTTATTTCACAAAATAAATTGACATTATCCTAACTTTTTATGTTGTGTGACCTTAAATTTAGGCTACCTGAAGAACATAAAAAAATACTGTTTTGACTTTGGCTATAATACGCATTTGCTCAATAAATAAAACCAATTATGAATTTTCATTTCCCTTGGTTGATTAGAAAGCTTTTGAGTTAATTGCGTAGTTATATACAACACTTATTAAGACCCCAACATTGTCTGGAAAAGAGTACACAATATTTGCAACATATAACTGATAAGTGAAGAAAGCTTTCATTGTTTCGAGACGTTCAATAACGCACATACTTAACGTGTAGCTTTAGAGATATCAAGTGTCCCATATATCACCGAGCAAGCGCGTGGTGTCTTGATGTTAGGCACTAAGTGAAGTACGACTCTTTATATGTTATAATTAATTCATTTGAAATAATGTTACATAAGAAATTAATTATTTGGAATATATAAAAATGCAATTTTTTGATAGAATTTAAAAAAAAAAACGCGATTTTTAAAAGCTAGTGCGACCACTGATACAGTGGTCTTTGAGAGTGACCTTTATGATCCACACGAAATTCATTTCGTGCATTATATTAGATGTAACAACAATGCCATAGACACAAAAACACTTCTTAAATTATAAAAATTCCCCTCTTATATCATATTCATAGTACTATACCATACTACCTGGTAAAATAAAGATACCTGGGAAGCCACGTGCATTCAAAATCTTGTACTACTACATACAAATGTGTGGTTTCCCACTGTTTCAGTGTCAAAAGTAACAAACTTTTTAACTTGAAAACCCACCACAACGAATGTTGAAGTGGTGCTCGTGAATGTCCTTTTTTTTTTCATTTTTCAGAACCAATTGTTTCTTATTACCAAAACAGTGCCTTTTATTAAAAGCACTAAATCTTTGAATACTATATCAATACAAACAGATTCTTTATGGTGGGTAAAAAACAGCTTAAAACGTCACACAAAAACAATTGTGCATATAGAGGGTGTATCCGTGACGTAATTTGGGTCTTACTTCCACCGGTATCCCAAAAGAACAGGGTACATTACATAATGACTCGCCTTATGATTTATGTCCCGGTTTTTGTTGTTTGTGGCTGTCTATTTTTTCTCTCTCTCTCTCTCCATAAAATTACATTTAATTATACAGACACATATTTCTGTCTATCACTGGAACAGTTAATCGTAGGAAAAAAAAATTATAGCAATTCCTAAAATTTCATATTGATATCAATACTGATTCATCAGTCTTTGTACGTGCTGAACGGTTTGTCCGTTTGTTATGAATTTCGCGTAAAGTTATACGAAGGCTATCTGCGCTAACCGTCCCTACTTTAGCAGTGAAAGACTAGAGGGAAGGCAGTTAGCTAGTCATCATCACTCACAACCAACTCTTGGGCTACTCTTTTACCAACGTATAGTGGGATTGACCGTCACATAATAACGCCCCCACGGCTGATAGGGCGAGCATGTTTGGTGGGACAGGAATTCGAACCCGCGAGCAGCAGATTGCGAGTCGAGCGCCCTAACTACCTGGTCATGCCAGGCCGTGCTGATCAGTCAATCTGAGAAAAAAAAACTTATGGAGAACTAAAATATATATCCTTTGCAATGGAATTTCACGAAAAAAAAAGGGGGGCCTTCCTTCGTCAATTGATTGAAAAAAAGTATTTCACAGAAAGGAACATTAACGGAAACAACACATAAAGAGAGACATTTATAAGTATATATCTGTTTTTGTTCGGTTTATATCTATATTCATATCGGTATTATATACATGCATGATTTTATTGTACCGTGCCATATAAATTCATTTGAATTGAGCATCTCCACTTTGAGATTTTTTATAGAAATGACAACTTTCAAAAAGCGCCCACTTCGGTAGCGGTCTTTTGTTGCACTCAGTAAAATGACAAGTAACGATGTCATCCAGCAGAAAAAAATTTCCGCAGCTACTTTTTGAACCTGTTCACTCTATTGTGCTGAATGCACCCACTGCATCGAAAAACAAACATTTTTGCCTAAAATGCATTGCAATCAGTCTCATTTGTTTAAAAACAAACGAAATGCAATTTTCCTTACTGAAATAATACATGGAATGACAAAAGACGGTTATAAACGGCTCACTAGACAATCATATTGCATATAAGCTCAGATCCAAGTGACTGTACATTTTATATTTATTCATCACTATTTTTAGGAAAATTACCGTTGAATTATTTCAATAAGAAAATATACAGATACATTTAACTTAGCAAAAACATTTAAGATTTTGATTAAAAAAAGAGAGGAAGAAATATAAACAATTAAGAATTTATTTATATTTATTGCATTCAAACAAAATTGTCTTATGATGTACGTCAGAAAACATCGAATAAACCATGATTATTAGTTTATTATACACATGTGGAAGAAAGATCTAACAACAACAACATAAAATATAGGTGACTATACGTGAGAAGCTCCGCAACTTCCATTGTAGGAAATTTTTGGTTGAAACATAAACAAATTGTGCATTATTGTTCTCAAATTAAAATCTAAAAATAATTTACAAAGTGAAACACTTTTCTGCAATCTCTTCATTAAAAAAACAAGAAAAAATGCATTATTTTAGATGAGATTAGATTAGGTTGGCAAAACCAACAGACCAGTAGAACAGATGAGGATCGAAGAGATGTTTGCTCTTGAATGGTATGTTTGTCTATAGGCCTATTTGCAATCATGGATTACAATTCTAGTCACTTTAGTTTCAAGTACTTCCAAGTTAATTGTATTTATAAAAAGTTCAGGTGATTGGATCCTTCATCTTTATGTTGAAGAAAGAATTGTTTCAAAAATGTTCCCCGACAGAATTTGCGCCAACTACAATAACGATTTTATAAACATTGAGGTTTTAGTTGCATATTTCTAATAATTTGGGTAACTGAAAAGTAAATACAAAAAAAAAAAACATTTTAGGAATATTAATTTTTATATATCTGCGTTTCATTATAATATATATATATATATATATATACATATTCATAAGAAGGAATATTAGTTTACACAAAGATGTTTTTAAAAGTCGGATGTCATAAAAAGAAGAATGGAGCGAATACCAGGATCCAAATACCAGTACAACAGTGATGCGTAAAACAAAACAGAAAGAAAAAGCAGCTGAGATTGAATGTGTTTTTTATTTGCTTGTTGTACAAGCACAAAGCAACACAATGTGCTATCTGTGCTATGTTCTGGTTTGTGGCGGTGTGAGTCAGCAGATTTTCCGCTGAGCCATTGAGAGGCTTCTGAAATTGAAAGAAGCAAACACTTGTCAAAAAATTAATACTCTAAAACATAGAAATGAAGCTACATTCAGTTCTGCGTACACAAGTAGTATCATTTAGAGTTGCTTTGAAACGAAGAAAGACGGATGAGGCTTTCACGAGAAATCGGAGATAAGTCTCTGTTACTTTCATATGTTGTAACAGAAATACATAGTGATAACATGCAAAATGATGAAGATGCGTCCAGTTTTCTTTCAACATCTCATCAAGAGGATTCAATAACTAAAGAAAGACAAAAGGATCTTTCTCGTGAAAACAGAAAAAAACGATCCAAAAGTAATTTCGTTTTCATAGCCAACTAGCAACCATCAATCAACAAAAAAATCTTCCTTTCAACAAAGAAATTGATTATTATCGAAAAGACCGACAGGAAGATAAAAATTCAAAGTGGATGGTTTCTTATAATTCAGACAGTTTGTTTGTTCTTTTTGTATGATTTAAAAATCAGAACGACGCCAAAAATAAATTTTATACAAGGTTGCTCTGATTGGTGATATATTACGACTAAGTTGTCAGACAACGAAAAATCGCAGACCCATTAACATTCTAGTCAGGCATTCTTCAACAGCAACGGAAAACCATCACAGACTGCTTAACAGAAAAGCACACTTCACTAGATCACAAAATTGTAACATAAAGACGTGCCATCGTCAGCGTCGTTACAGGTTTTTTTTTTCTTTTACTTTTTTTCCAAGATTTGGCCTGCCTCAGAAAAAGAGGAGAATCAGCAGAAGAGCTTTTCGACGATTCACCTACGAACCATGTTAACATTTCAGAAGCTGTAAGATGTATACAACTGGTACCTATTTCGTGAGACACACTTAGAAACAAAAAGAGTAAGGCACGGAATGATAACAAGTCTACGAGAGGTGGAGGAAAGTTTATTATAGGAAATGAATTTCCACTATTACGAAATACAAGTTTCGACATTTCCACACGTTCCTTTGAATATAGCAAGTATTTAAGTTTAAACACGAAGAGTACTGAAAAATTGAAAAAAATCCTCGTCAACACCCCCTCATGGTTTAGAAGGTGTAGTTGAAAGTCCACATGGGAAAAAATGAATCAT